TTCTTGTTTTGTAGGAAACTTCCAAATCAAAGAAGTCTATGTGGTATCTTGATAGTGGATGCTCAAAACATATGACTCGGGGATAAAACGAAATTTGTAAGTTTCAAAGCCAAAAAACAAGGATATGTGACTTATGGGGATAACAACAAAGGGAAGATTCTCGGAATTGGAAACATAGGTGGTGCAAATACATTGGAGATTAAGGATGTGCTTCTTGTTGATGGATTAAAACATAACCTTCTTAGCATAAGCCAATTGTGTGACAAAGGATTCAAGGTAACTTTTGAAAGTAAATTTTGCACCATACATTTAGTAGATTCGAAAAAGTAGAATTAAAAGGCATTAGGCATAACAACATATATTTGATTGATTTGGATTGTTTACATGAGTCTAGTATAACATGTTTAGTTGCTAAGGAAGAGAATCCTTGGTTATGGCATAAAAGAGCGGCTCATATAAACATGCATCATTTGAATAAATTGATATCAAAAGACTTAGTTATTGGATTGCCTAAATTGAAATTTGAAAAAGATAGATTGTGTGATGCATGCCAAAAAGGTAAACAAGTTAAATCATCATTTAAATCAAAAAATGTGATTTCCACTTCAAAACCCCTAGAATTATTACATTTAGATTTATTTGGACCTTCTAGGATAAAAAGCTTTGGTGGAAATTATTATGGTCTTGTAATTGTTGATGATTTCTCTAGGTACACTTGGACATTTTTCCTAACTATGAAAAGTGAAGCTTTTAAGGTCTTTAGAAAGTTTGCTAAACAAATACAAAATGAGAAAGACCTAAGGATTAAAGTTTTAAGAAGTGACCATGGTGGTGAGTTTCAAAATGAAAAGTTTGAGAATTATTGTGAGGAAAATGGTATATTACATAACTTTTCTCGCTCCTAGGACTCCCCAACAAAATGGTGTAGTTGAAAGGAAAAATAGGTCATTAGAGGAACTTGCAAGAACTATGTTAAATGAATCCAATGTTCCTAAATATTTTTGGGCTGATGCGGTTAGTACTGCATGTTATGTTTTAAATAGAATGCTCATTAGGTCAATTATGAAATCTACTCCATATGAATTGTTTAATGGTAGAAAACCTAATGTTGCACATTTGAAAATTTTTGGTTGTAAATGTTTTGTACTAAATAATGGAAAGGACAATCTAGGAAAATTTGATTCAAAAGCCAATGAGGGCATTTTTCTAGGTTATTCTTTAACTAGCAAGGCGTATAGAGTATTTAATAGAAGAACTTTGAATATAGAAGAATCTATACATGTTGCCTTTGATGAGATTGTAGACCTTGGGGGAAATCCTCTTGAGTCAAATAAAAGACTTGCAGGTGATGATGAATATATAAGAGAGGCCCTTGATGAATTATACTTGGAAGATAATGTGCCTTCTCAAACTCCTCAATTAGCAAAAGAATGGCAATCACCTAGAGGACTCTCAATGGACAATATCATAGGTGATATCTCAAAAGGGGTAAGAACTAGAAATATGAATAATTTCTGTATGTCTGTTGCTTTTGTGTCACAGATTGAACCTAAAAACATTGAGGAAGCACTTAAAGATGATCAATGGTGCATAGCCATGCAAGAAGAACTTAACCAATTTGAAAGGAATCAAGTCTGGGAACTAATCCCAAGAGAAGAGACACATCAAGTTATTGGAACTAAATGGGTATTCAGAAATAAGCTTGATGAAGATGGTAATATAACAAAGAATAAAGCCGGACTTGTTGCAAAAGGCTATTGTCGGGAGGAAGGTATAGATTATGATGAAACTTATGCTCCTGTGGCCGGGTTAGAGGCTATACGCCTACTTCTTGCTTACGCATCTATGATGAAATTTAAACTATATCAAATGGATGTAAAGAGTGCATTTTTAAATGGTTTTATTAAAGAAGAAGTGTATGTAGAGCAACCCCTGGATTTGAAGATTTTAATAATCCTAATCATATTTACAAATTAAAGAAAGCATTATATGGGTTAAAACAAGCTCCTAGATCTTGGTATGAAAGATTAAGTAGTTTCCTAACTGCAAATGATTTTTCAAGAGGAAAAATTGATTCTACACTCGTTTATTAAGAAAGTTAAAGAACATATCTTATTGGTCCAGGTATATGTTGATGATATTATTTTTGGATCAACTCGATAATTCTTTGTGTGTAGAATTTGCTAAGATTATGCAGGGAGAGTTTGAAATGTCTATGATGGGAGAATTAACATTCTTCCTTGGACTTCAAATCAAGCAACTTAAAGATGGAACTTTTATCTCTCAAACTAAATACTGCAAAGAGATCCTCAAAAAGTTTGGTATGGACTCCTCAAAGGAAGCTAACACACCCATGGGAACTTCATGCTATTTAGACAAGGATGAATCAGGTTTGGAAGTAAATCAAACTATGTATAGAGGTATGATAGGATCACTATTATACTTAACTGCTAGTAGACCCGATATTATGCATTCACGTACGTGTGTGTGCTAGATTTCAGGCTTGTCCTAAAGAATCTCATTTAATTGTAGTAAAACATATTTTAAAATACTTAAAAGGAACTACTGGATTTGGCTTGTGGTATCCGTCTGATGCTTGTATTAGTTTATTAGGATATTCTGATGCTGATTATGGTGGATGTAAAATTGATAGGAAAAGCACTAGTGGGACATGTCATTTGTTAGGTTCATCCTTAATATCATGGCATTCTAAGAAACAAGCATGTGTTGCTTTATCTACCACTGAAGCTGAATATATTGCAGCTGGTAGTTGTTGTGCTCAAATTCTGTGGATGAAACAACAATTAGAGGATTATAGCATATATTTAAATGACATTCCATTAATGTGTGATAATACGAGTGCAATCAACTTAACTAAAAATCCAGTAATGCACTCTAGGACTAAACATATTGAGATTAGACATCACTTTTTAAGAGATAATATCAGCAAAGGAAACTGTAAGATAGAGTATGTAGATACTAAACGTCAATTAGCAGATATATTTACTAAGCCTCTACCCAAGGATAGATTCTATGATCTTCGAAGAGACTTAGGGATACTAGAAATAGCTTAAATTCTGCTTAATTTGAATGATTTTGGATGATTGTTATGATTAAAATTCGTGATGCAGGATATTCATAGGTTATAATGTGTAAAAACCTTAAAAACTTAATATAGCCTCTGGAATAATCGATTCATCGGAAGTGATAATCGATTATTTTTCCTCAAAACGTCCAAAACAGGGTATTCTCCTCTGGAATAATCGATTATCTCGTGAAATAATCGATTAAATGCCTCTAATAATCGATTATTTACTGGAAATAATCGATTAAAGTTGTCTAATGTAGAGATAATTGATGAATTTTCTTTTGTTATTGTCTTGATGTTGTAAAATATGATGTTTCTTTCATGCTATGATTGAGGGGGAGCTTTCTCTAACTTATGCATATTTTGAGGGGGAGCTCTTATGATTGATGTTGCAGAGTTCTTTTTGATTATAATCAAAATAGGGGGAGAAAAATTTAAAGCCTATGATTCAATATTAAATGTTATCTGGTATGTTTAATGTGTTTGTTAGTATGACAGATAAAACAGGTTATTACAAGGGCTTTAAAAAGATAATTTTGATCATCATCAAAAAGGGGGAGATTGTTGAACATTCAAGGACTTGATGTTGCAAATAATGATCATGAAGAATGTTGATTTTGATGATGATCCAAGAGCTTAAAGACTTAGAGTATTGAAGATTGAAGATTGATGATTTCTGTATTGTAATAACTCTGTTTTAGTTTGATTGAGTCCGTAATTATAGAGTCTAAGATAGCTGGTACATAGTCTATAACTTAGAAGCTTCAAAATGCTCAAATTTATCATGCAGGCTCGAGCTTTAATCGATTATATAGGTAAATAATCGATTAAAACAGATGAGAAAACCACTTTCTATACTAAGTCACTGTTTTAATCGATTAAAAAGCAAAATAATTGATTATTTCGTACCGTTCAGTACTGGATAATCGATTATTTCACCAAATAATCGATTAAACCAGAGAGGATTGGGTTACGACGTATTTGGCTCTGTTTTAATCGATTAAAACTCCATTTAATCGATTATTTCGATCTGTTTCTGATTTTAAACATCAAACAAACCCTATTTTCGAAAACCCAATTACCAAGAACCCTAGTTTCGAAATCCCCAATTCCTAAACCCTAATTTCCCTACTTAAACTCGCTTTGGCACTCGAAAAAGAAGAACAACTCTTTCCATACAAAAGTTAAGTGCTGTGAGTGCCAAAGAACTGTTTGTTGCAAGGAAAGGGGGCTTTTGGAACTTGGTGTGAGGCTAGAAGCGATAAGAATCACTAAGTGGAGTTCTTAGTGGATTGTGTGCTGTGCCGTCTCTAGGGAAAGTTGTTCTTCATCTCTTGTGGATTTCAAGAGAGGTGTTGTCTTTACTTTATCTCTTTGATTTGTAATCTGTTTATAACAATTTGTTCTTAGTGACAGCGTTAATCCTCTTTTGAGTGATTAGCAATCTGGACGTAGGGTCTTTTGATCCGAACCAGTATAAACCTCATCGTGTAATCTTCTCTACTCTTCTCTATTTACATTTACACAGTTTTTAATCGGTAAAATTTGGGGAAAATTTTGAAAACCTAATTTTTATTAAGAAACCAATTCACCCCCCTCTTGGTTTTTATCCGACCACGCGAACATTCAATTACAGCGATTCTAACAATATCTAAATCAAATAATATATTATTAATAAATAATATATTATTAATAAATAATAAATAAATATAAAAGAAAATAAGAGTATAAAAAGAGAAAAAGATAAAATTATAAATATATATTTAAATATATTAATTATCATTAAATCACAAAATTTTATATGAGAATTATAAAATTAAAAAAAAACTAAAAAATTAAAATTGTAAATATATAAATAAATATATTAAATAATTATTGTATCATTGTCATAATTTATCATGTCTATTCTCAGTGGCACATTCTTCGTAATCAGGTTGTAATAGTAGTAAAATGTGAAGAGCATTAAAGAGTTCAAAATTGCTTTTAATCCCAACTCAAGATTTTAAACACATTTTTTGGTGTCATGTTGGTTCAGTACGGATTACCGTACTGTTGGAACTCTCCGCCCAATCTACCTTCACCACAGTCAATAAATTCTAAGATTAAATTAAATGAACCATAATGATCATAACAATGATTTATAAAATAATTAGCTATTAAAATGTTTAATACTACTGTCATAGTTAGTTATTCTACTTAAAATACTTAACTGGATCACGTAGACGTTAAGTGGAGAATCGTAATGAACCAGAGCCGTCTGTACCAATTTTGAGTACTAAAATAATATTTAAAAAATAATATTATTATTTAGTTTTTTTTTCTTTTTTCTTTTATTTTTATTTTTTATTTATAAAATTACATTATTTTGTTAAATTTTAGATACTATATATTTTCATATAATTTGAAATTTTTATATCAGTAAATATTTACTTTTAATGCATATTTTTTAATTATTCCGAATTATAATTATTTGTATAAATTGCAATTATCTTCTCTATTTGTTTAATTATTTATATATTTATTCTTGAATGAATTTTAGACAGTTAATAATTTTACATGGTCGGTCTATAGTAATTGTTTAATCAAGTTTCGATCAATTGAAGTTGTTTTTATATCTTATTTGCAAACGACGATAAATTTATCAAGAGTATTAAATTGAAATTAGTTTAATTTTCAATAGAATTTTTTTCTTTAATTTTTTAATGTCAAATTCATACTTTTTATTTGAATTTTCCTATTAAATAAAATTAAACACTATAGAAAAATATATAATTAAATATTTTTCAATAATAATGAAATAATGAAACTAAAACATAAAAAAATAAAATAAAATTGTATACTAGTATTTAAATAAAAGGTTATAAAACATATATAATATTCACTTAATTTTAAAATAATATTTAAATACTTATTCATGATTCTTACTGTAATTTCAAATAATTAGTTTAAAAAAAATAGTGAAATAAAAACAAGTTTATAATTCTTATTAAGGTCTACTTATTTCAATAATAAGGATTCGAGATTTATTTTATTACTTATTTATCTAAAATCATAATTTATCTTAATTATTAAATTAAAAAATTAAAAATATTAATAATAAATATTTAATTCTTATGTTTTCTTTATATATATATATATATATATATATATATATATATATATATATATATATATATATATATATAGAGAGAGAGAGAGAGAGAGAGAGAGGTGCTAACCAGTGAGCCAATCCGACTCACCACGGGTTCGAGCCGAGTTATGGTGGGTTGGCCCACAACTCATCATTAATTTTAAATTTTAAAAATAATTATAATATACTAACCCTAATTAATTATTTATTTTAAATTTTAAAAATAATTACAATACTTTAGTAACCCTAATTGATGTTATCCTGTCTTATCTCTACCCTAAATTGTCGTTGCCGTCACAAGCCAAACCCTCACTCAAACTTGTTATTAGTTGTTTGCTGCACCACTACGTTTGCCGCTGCACCTGAGTCACTTGTATCATCTGTCCACCGCACCACTACACCAACGTGTCCACTGTACTGCTTTCAAAGGTAAAAATTTGTACCATAACCTAAATTATTTGATTGATGAATCTTTATTTGAAAATTGTAACATTTATACATTATTTGTTGTTTGTTATTGATTTATACGTATATCTATTTAATATATAAATTTTTGACTTATTTCTTTCAAATTAATTTAACGTATGAAATCTTAAACAATACATAAAAGTGTCAATGTAAATTGTTCATTGATGATTTTATTATTAATGAAAAATTCAATGAGTCAATTTGAGTTCATAACGAATATACTGATATTGAGAAAGAAAGAAAACAAAAGTTTCCGCATCCGAAATTTCTATATCATTTAAAAAATTTTAAAAATATGAGTTAGTCGACCAACCCATCAACCGTGGTGGGTTAAGTCGGGTTGTAAAATTTTTGCCTCACCAAAAAGTGAGCCGAGTTGAACTCACATATTTTTAGCTCAACCCATGGTGAGCCAATTTATGTTAGTCAGGTTGACTCACTTTGACACCCTATACTTACCCTAAACATTGATATTATTGTGAGAAAAATATTATATATATATAATTTTAATATAATAAATTATTAAGTAATTCGAGATTAACAAGTGTCCTTACATACTCCCAATCAAAGTTGCATAATCCATATTCAAATTCATAATTAAAAAGAAAAAATATTTAGTTGAAATTACAGTGATGTAGAATTATCTAATAAAATTTCTCTTACACTATTTTAAAGATATTTTTCCTACATCTTAAAAGTTACGATACAACTTGATAACTCTTATTTAGTATTTAAATTCACCTTTCACAAATTATAATTTACAAAAAGTCTCAATGAATACAATTGTCGAAAAATATTGTATCATAGAGTTTGTTATTATCATTCCTTTTGTCCTATTGATTTATGTACCAAAATAGTCCTCGACATAACATATATTATTACATTCAATTTGTTTTTTCTCCTTTGCAGATCATCGAGGGGTTATTTGTACGTTAAAGCACTCGATTGATGCTTAGCTTTCAACCGAGGCAGTGGCTTCTTATTTCCCAACAACGAATCAAACATGGTTCTGAGTTTCTACCCATTGGTGCAGAGGCACCAACAGCAATCATGATGATGGCTATGTACTTAGGGTTAGCCAAGGGAATGGGGTGGTGCGATTGGGTACAAAGGATGATCATAATGATGGTGATGATGAAATTGGACTTTGAGGTACATTAAGGTTGAATTGGGGTATGTGATGGTGTGCATGATTGGGGTAGCAATAATGAGTTTTTCATCATATGTTATGGGGTGTGTTTGTGTCTGTGATTATGATCATGATCATGCATCAATCAGTTATGGAAAGGAAAAAATAAATAAATGTTACGCCAGCTGCCTGTGCATGGAAATGGCATGGCACGCGGTGTACCCTACTACTGAACTGAACACAATATATTGTATAGATAAATATCCTTTTGGTTTTGGAGTTTCTCAGAATTATTTGAGGCTCATAATCTCACTGCTTTCCAAAGTTTTGGTCTCAACCTTGTGATGGCTCTGAAATATAAGGCAAAGAATAGGATGCATGTGCTAAAGGCCAAACGCCAAAAGCTTGGGTTTGGAACTTATACAAACACAAGGGAATCATGACCTTCAAACCTGAGGTGGTTTTGTACTTGGTACTTTGTCTCTGCTCCATTTTTTTATTCTTATGTTGTTTGGCTTTCTTTCCTCTTCTTGTTTGTCCTCACACACTTTCTTTCTGCTTTCTCCTCAATTGTTGTAACAATGCTTCAGCCTCTTTTCGGTTATCCCCCACACCTTTTTAACCTTTGTGGTGAACTATGGAATGGGGTTTTAATGGTTGTGGTTATATAAAATATAAATAAAAGTATTCTGGGTAGCCCCTGTGTGATGGGATGCTCTTGATCTTTTCATGTATAAATTAAGCAAAGTTTTTTTTTTTTAAAATAAAAACTATTATTAGGAAGGAACTTCTAATTAGGTTTTATTTTTATTCTCGTGTTTTAAAAATTATTCCTAAAAGCATAATCAAATTATTCTTTAAACTCTTATATTTTGTTTGGACCAGGAATATAACTCTGTGAGGAAGTGGAAAAGTAAAAAACAAAAACAAAAAACAAAAAAGTATGATCGTCTGAATTAAAAAATAATAAAAAGGGAAAAAATAAATAAAAAATTATAATTAATTTAGTTGATTTAATAAAATAAAAATTATATTAATGGGATAGTATAATAAATTATTAAAATATCGTTAAATTTAATAAAATAATATAAAATTAAAAATAAAAGATGATTAAAAATATTAAAATATTTTTCACATTATTAAAAATTAATTAAAATCCCAAAAATAAAAAAATTCAAATGTTAAAAATTCAATATATATATATATATATATATATATATATATATTAAAGAAAAATTAAATTCAAGTGTTCAATTACAGAAACATGCGAATTTCTTATAGTGCAACACATATGACAATGGATGGAATGGGATCTCAACCTTCAACAAATAAATAAACTAAGGTGTTAATAGGAAAGTAAATAATGTCCATTTTTTTTTTACTTTTATTTCTCGTTGTATTATTCATCTCATATAAATTAAAAATGTTCAGTTGTAAAAATAAATAATTAAATTATTTATTCATTATATAAAGCTTTAATGATTATATTTTAGTAAAATTATAATGCTAAATATTTTTCTCAATACATATAAAATTAACTATTTTACTTATATTTAAATAATTAGGAAATAAGTTACCCTTCAAAATTATCTTCAAATACGAAATTTTTTTTTAATGTATTAATTGCATTAAAATATTTTCAAATAACTCTAGAAACAATTTCAAACTTTTGAAATTGAAACAAGAAAAAAAATACCATGATATTTTGATATTCCAAATATTGGATGTCAGTAATGGTTTTTTCTATTATATCATTGTAAATAATAAATATTATTATTATTTTATTATTATTATTATTATTATTATTATTATTATTATTATTATTATTATTATTATTATTATTATTATTATTATTATTATTATTATATTAATAAAGTGAGTTGTAGATGACCGCATCGGTATAATAGATTATCACGTAGTTAAATTGATATTTGGCTTCCAGAGAGCAATACATTGTAGTTTTAAAGGAGGATTTCTCTAGTGGTGGAACCTGTTTGAACTACTGTTATAAAAAACCCTTTTATGACAGCTATTTTATATTTTTATGGTAATTATTTTAATTTTTTTACTTTATAATATATAAATTTATGTAAATTCTCTAAATGGTTAAATAATCGATATAATAAATTTTAATTATTATGTTAATTCTTAATATAAAATGTACCGTTAAATTTTTTATATTTAATTGTATGCTTGTAGGTATTTTATAAAACAATTTTAATATAATAAGAAATAAAAAAATTAAGCGTAAGTATTATCCATGTTTAGAAATCTTAAATATAAAATATATTCTTAATATAAAATATAGCGTTAAATTTGTTATATATAATTGTATGCTTGTAGGTATTTTATAAAACAATTTTAACATAATAAGAAATAAAATAAAGCAATTTTAATACAATAAAAAATAAAAAATTAAGCACAAGTATTATTCATATTTAAAAATATTAAATATAAAATATAGAAAATTTTATCTTAGCTGAATAACAATCATTATATGTTACAATATAAAATAAATTACAATATTTTATTAAATTAAATCTTAAAATATAAATTAATAGAGAAAATGGATACAATATTTTTAAATATTACCTTTATTATTGGTAAGAAAGAAACAAAATTGTAGAGGATGATGAAGGCTATTAGAATGCAACCAAACAAAAGGAAATAGATGTTGAATGGAGATTACGTAGTGTAAAGGAAAAAAAATAGAGTAAGATGAAAAATTCGAAATAAAGTTGTAATTTTTTTAATACATAATAACTTTTATGATAACTTAATTTTGATTTAATATAATAAATATTTTTTATGACAATTTAATTTTAAAGTGAAATATGTTTTATGTGTCAAATTATTACAATAATTATTTTTTTATATCAATTCAATTTTAAATTGATATATAAAATTATTTACTAATTTAATGTTAAATCAATATAAACAAAATTAAACTATAAATATTTATTATAGTAATTTTAAAATAAATCCATCGTAAAAAAATATTTATTATGATAGTTAAATTGTGAATTTATTATAATTAATGAATTAGAACCTTTATAATAAATGTTTGTTATAGTGAGATCTCATGACACTATTTATTGCAGAGATGAAACATACGAAACAACTTATTCACGCTTTGTTATCAATGGTGGATCTTAACCATTGATATTGGAGGTGCCAAATAATATATTATTAATAAATAATAAATAAATATAAAATGAAGTAAGAAAATGAAAGGGTGAAAGGATAAAATTGTAAATATATACTTAAATATATTAAATGATCATTAAGTTTGAGGGGACAAAATCATAAATTATATGAGAGTTACAAAGCGAGGAGGAGTTGAGAGGATAAAATTGTAAATATACAAGTAAATATATCAATTCAATTTTAAATTGATATATAAAATTATTTACTAATTTAATGTTAAATCAATATAAACAAAATTAAACTATAAATATTTATTATAGTAATTTTAAAATAAATCCATCATAAAAAAATATTTATTATGATAGTTAAATTGTGAATTTATTATAATTAATGAATTAGAACCTTTATAATAAATGTTTGTTATAGGGAGATCTCGGGGCACTATTTATTGCGAGAGATCAAACATACGAACCAACTTCTTCATGCTTTGTCATCAATGGCAGATCTTAACTATTGATATTGGAGGTGCCAAATAATATATTATTAATAAATAATAAATAAATATAAAATGAAGTAAGAAAATGAAAGAGTGAAAGGATAAAATTGTAAATATATACTTAAATATATTAAATGATCATTAAGTTTGAGGGGGACAAAATCATAAATTATATGAGAGTTACAAAGCCGAGGAGGGGTTGAGAGGATAAAATTGTAAATATATAAGTAAATATATTAAATGTTCATTAAGTTTAGGGGGGACAAAATCATAAATTACATGAAAGTTACAAAACTTTGGAGGGGTCACGACCCCCTCAGCTCCCAATAAGATCCACCGAGTGTTTATCACGATAACTTAGTGCTCCTTCTACCTCTCATAATAATATAATAACATAAAAGTAGAATTGTAAGATTAACCTTGTCTTGGAAAATATGGAGATGAATTGCAATACATGTCCAAATAATGAACAAGAGAGCAATGTGTAGGAGTGCGAACTAAAGGAAATAAGATAGAACACGAAGAAATTTATTCATAAAATCTATTATATATATATATATATATATATATATATATATATATATATATATATATATATATATATATAAGAGAAAACAAACATATATAAAGAAAAAAAGGGATAAAAATGAGAAATAGAAGAAAAAAAAAACAAACCAAAAAAAATCATGAGTTTATCATCCACTTAAGTTATCATTCCTAACTTACAATGAAGATATTTGAAGACAATTGGAGTAAGAGGTTTGATAAGCATATTTGCAACTTGAAGAGCAAGTAGATAGGAAGAAGTTTAATTACCCCCATTGCCAATATTTTTTTAAACAATATGACAATCAATCTTTATTATTTAGTTCGCTTGTAAATAACCTAGTTGGAGATAATTGGAATGGTAGATTGATTGCCACAATACAAAATAACAGGTTTAATGAATAGTTGGTATGCGTTTTCTTCCTTAATTGATGACTAAACGAACCCTTGAGAATTCATAGGAGAGATAAAACATATATTTGATTTTTAGCTTCTCTTTTCATTCCTTCGAAAGGCTATGTATAGCCATGCAAATCCAAATTAGTTACAATCAGAGGGTCCTCCTGATTTGTAGGAAAAATGAACCTACGAAATGGAAATAACAATCTACCAATTCTAATAACTAAATTATTCTAGGCAAAGAAATAGCGTGACTTGACATTTCTAGAAACATGCTAACACAGTGAGCTCTATAGGATGTAATCCTTCAGATAGGTTGGTGTTGTAGTAATCCTTTTGGGCCTTACATTAGTCAAATGGGTTGTGGTCTGATTGCTAACAATGTCTGCCTCTGGAAAAATCACCTTGTCTTCAAGGTGATAATTGGAACTGAGTTGTGCCCATTCTTCCCAACTAGTATCATCTAGTGATAGTTCGAACCATTGAACAAGGACCTTTTTGGTTGGGGGATTTGTTGAGTTGTTCATGCGAGTAGCCAAAATTGTTAGGGGGCGAATTATTGGTTGGTGGTTGAAAGCCTCCAAAGGAAATGGAGTGGGGTCCAGGGCAAGGCCATGATGACGTTTCGGCAATGAATAGTGAAAGACAGGGTGAGTTTTGGACTCAGGTGGTAAATCCAATTGATAAGCAACCGTACCAATTTGGGCAAGTATTTTGTAGGGTCGATAAAACCTCTTGAAAAGTTTGTGATAAGTGGAACCAGAGAGGGACCGTTGCCATTACGGCCTGAGACAGACATAAACCAAATCACCCACATCATAAGACATATCACGACATTTGGTATCAGCATAATGCTTCATAGTGACCTGAGCTTTGACACTAGTGGAAAAATAGCTTTCTATGATGGGTTTTTATCACGGTCGTAATCTACCCGTCATAGTATGTGGCGCGGTGGCAATTTTGTAATAAAATCATAAACTTTCTATGTCGGGTAAGTTTTAGCCGACATAGTAAGTGGAAAGGTCACTTTCTACGTCGGTTAAAATTTACCCGACATAGAAAGTTAACTTTCTATGTCGGGTAACATTTACCCGACGTAGAAAGTGAACTTTCTATGTCGGGTAAATTTTAACCGACGTAGAAAGTGTCTTTGATGACGGGTGTTAGAGCAACCGACATAGTATCTTCTGTTTTACCCTCTTCCGCGCTCCATTTCATTTCATCACTTCCCCCATAGCGAGCTCCCACGTACGTTTCTCCCTACGCTCCATTTCCTTTCATCGGTTCACCCATACCGAGCTCCCCGTTCCCTTGTATACGTTTCTCCGCACCCACATTTGCTCGTCACGTCACACGCTAGCGCTTCGTGCCGCCTGCTTGCTGCCGGTGTCCGTCGCCGGGATACGTTTCTCCCCACCCGGCTTTGCACGTCACGCCACCCGCCACCTCCGTAGGTCTTCAAGAGGTAAGTTTTGGTGCTTGCTTTAGCCAATGTAGGTTTACGGTATTGAATCTAGTAAGTAATAATGCTTGTCAAGAGAGGGAAACATCACGGGTGCCTTTAGCTAATTTAGAGATGTATTGTAAGTAGTTTAGTCATTTGAATGTGTTTACGTAGGCATTCTTTCGTGATTTTGATTTTGAACATTAGATTTGTATTATAATGTAGTTATTTTGAGAGTGGAGTTGGATTTCGTGTAGGCATTATAGTGTAGTTATTTCGTGTTTACGTAGCTAATTTGATTTTGAAAATTAGATTTGTAACAATGGATCGGAGTTGGATCAATTATAGACGAACAACAAATGAATATGAGAGTGGAGTAGAACAATTCCTTGAATTTGCTAAGATGAATGTTCAGGATAATGATGGAAGATTCTATTGCCCTTGTGTTAAGCTGCTTGAATGAGCGAAGATTACCGATCGAAGTTATTCGGGAACATGTTCTTTGTGATGGTTTCCTAAAGAGTTACATAAAGTGGACATGGCATGGTGAATTATTAAACATGCCAAGTGTAGAAGACAAAGAAGAAGTTGATCTAGAGATGGATGATCAAGTTGGAGGAAATGATTCGTGAGCTTGGACAAGATGCCTTCCAACACACACATGTGTATGAGAAGTTGTCCAATGATGCAAAAGAGCCTTTGTATACAAATTGTACTAAGTTCACACGATTGTCGGCGGTACTAAAATTGTTCAATGTGAAGGCAAAGAATGGGTGGATCGATAAAAGTTTCACGAGAATTGCTTGAGTTGTTGAGTGACATGCTCCACTGAAGGTAACACATTGCCAACCCGCAATTATGATGCTAAGAAGATATTGTGTCCAATGGGTATGGAGTACCAAAAAATTCATGCATGTCCGAATGATTGTGTGTTGTACGGGAAAGAATTTGAGAAGCTGTCACGAATGTCCACAATGCGGGGAATCACGATACAAGAAGAAGGATGGTGATTACGACAATGATGTAATGAAGGGTACCCAGACAAAAGTGTTATGGTATCTTCCCATTGTTCCAAGGTTGAAACGATTATTCACTAATGGAAATGATGCAAAGCTGACTAGATGGCATGCGGATAGTCGTATTAAAGATGGTCGGTTGAGGCATCCGGTGAGATGGATTGCAATGGAAAAAAATTGATTCCATCTTCCGGAATTTTGGTAATGATCCAAGAAACATTAGGTTTGGACTTGCTACGAGATGGAATGAATCCATATGGAAATTTAAGCGATAAACATAGTTCATGGCACTGTGGTGTTAGTTATTTACAACTTACCTCCAGTGGTTGTGTATGAAACGTAAGTACTTGATGCTATCTTTGATGATCTCGGGTCCCGGACAACCTGGAAATGACATTGATGTTTTTTTAAGCCCATTGGTTGAAGAGTTGAAGATGTTGTGGGAGGAAGGTGTTGATGTGTTTGATGGGTACACGAGGTGACTTATTCAAGTTGCGTGCAATGTTATTTTGTACAATTAATGACTTTCCGGCATATGGTAATTTGAGTGGCTACAGCACAAAGGGACATAAAGCTTGCCAGATATGTGAAGAAGACACATGTCACTATCAACTACAACATGGAAGGAAAAGCGAGTGTACCTTGGACATCGAAGATTTCTTCCTTCAAACCATTCATATCGTAAATTAAAAAAATCATTTAACGGGTGTCAAGAAAATGATGCAGCCCCAACACCTTTAAGTGGGGAAGAAGTATATCAACGAGTAAGTGCAATTTCGTGTGAGTTTGGAAAGACGCAAAAGAAAGCCACAGGTATATGGAAGAAAATGTCAATCCTTTTTGTTCTTCCATATTGGAGGGTTCTTGATGTGAGGCATTGTATAGATGTCATGCATGTAGAGAAAAATGTGTGTGATAGTATCATCGGAACGCTCCTTAACATTCAAGGAAAAACAAAAGATGGTGTCAATGCTCGTTTGGACATGGTTGAAATGGGTATAAGAGAACAATTAGCTCCTCAACCTCATGGTAACCGAACATACTTGCCTCCGAGCATGTCACACACTTGTCTAAAAAGAGAAAAGAAGTTTTTGTGAGTTTTTACGAGGTGTGAAGGTTCCATTTGGTTACTCTTCCAATGTGAAGAGACTTGTATCTATGAAAGAGCTCAAATTGCTTGGGTTAAAATCTCATGATTGTCATGTATTGATGCAACAACTTCTACTGTGGCTATTCGAGGTATCTTACCGGACAATGTTAGATATTCCTTAACTCGATTATGCTTTTTTTAATGCCATATGTAGTAAAGTTATGGACACGGGTGTTTTGGATCAATTAGAGAATGAGGCTGCAGTCATATTATGTCAATTTGAGATGTACTTTCCTCCATCATTTTTTGATATTATGGTTCACTTGATTGTTCATCTAGCCAGGGAAGTTAGAATACTGTGGTCCGGTTTTCTTACGACGGATGTACCCTTTTGAGCGATACATGAAAATATTAAAAGGGTATGTGAAGAACCAATATCGTCCTGAAGCATCAATTGTTCAAAGGTATATTGCGAGAGGAAGCTATTGAGTTTTGCACAAACTACTTATCAGAAGTTGA